GCACTGCGAGAGTTTAACCCATTATCTGATAGATTTATACGTTCGTTTGGCCAACACGCAATACCTTCGGGTAGTTCAAACGTTGATTGGGCGAATGGTGGACGACTTTAGATGGTTAACCAGCCCATAAAATGCAGAGCATGCTGTCAACGCGCATATCTGCTGTACTGTGGTATTATCGACGTTACGAACACACACACACTACACACACACACACGCCACACACACTCCACAAACACACACGAACACAACACCCACACACACACACACCACACACACACACAACATATACACCACACACACACACACACACACAATCACATGCCACACACACAACACAACACACACACAGCACACACACACACACACACACACACACACACACTCCACACCACACACACACACACCACACACACACACACACACACACAACACAGCACACACATACACCCACACACATCACCGACACACAAACCACAACACACCACACAACACCCACACACATCACACAGCACACACACCACACACACACCACATACATCGCGCGCATATTGATCTCATTTTTCCCTCATCGTCTCCACTCCCTCTTTCTCTTTCTCTCTGGCACATGACGGGAGTTCACCACCTCTTATCACCGCGTAGCAAGTAATCGATATCTGATGGCGCGCGTGCCTCTGGCAGCAACGGCGACGCGGGGGTGCATTTATGGATGTCTGCATGAAAACGATGACATTTCATTTGATGCCGGCGCGGTAATAATACTCTAGCCGGGATACGTGCAGGCGCGCGTGACCCGGCAGTCCGTGGACGCGTCCGCGATGTATATCATACTCCTCGCCCCGATTGCTGCGAACGCCGCCGGGCAGCGCAAAAGTGATAGCCGACCACGCGAATGTGAGTGTGCAGCGCGGGAGTCCTAAGAGACAAGTCAAGTTCTGCTGCCCACGGCCATATTAAAATCCCCATGGACGTCCATCCTCGCATGCGGCTCCCTTCATTGTATGTTCCCTCTCCATTCTCTTCTCCTATGGCCTCCCCGATCTCTTACATGTCAACTGTTCTTATAATTCGCCATGTGGGCTACTTCCCGGCCTCCTCATTAATCATACAAACTGTTTCTTGCTTCATACCTCCTAATATGCAGACTTAATCCTTTTGGTAACTAACTATACACTTTAACAACTACAGTGTGGTATTGTTGAACACCTTCTAACCTATTACACTGCTGTATTTAATTGTGTAGGTAGTCTAACAACTGTGTATTTAATTCAATTCATTTTCAATAAATTCAATAAAATCAATTTCTAAATAATTTACAATAAATTCATTTAAATAAATGTCAATTTCAAGTTTACAAATTCAAAAAGTAACTAATTAAAACACAACTAAAAAACACCTTGTAGAAGGTGTTTAACAATACACAGTGTATTTTTGTGTGACAAGGTACTATGGACGGGGTAATATCACATAATACACACATGTATTGTGGTTTACAGACGGCTGCCGTTCTAACAAGACACAGTGTATTGTTGAAAAGCTCCGGCGGGTCGTTTTACATTATTGGGACACAGTGCTTAATATCGCTCAAGTGGTCCAAAAAATAAACAACTGTTTATTGAGTTACCAGGATTATCTGCTAATATGGTTTCTTATCCTAATCTGCGGTCTTCTCGTCCTATAACTCAATTTGCTATCGCCACATTTGAACTTTATTATGATCATCTTCTCACCTCCCTCACAACGATCTTGGAGCTCACAAATGTATTAGTTTACTATGATTCTACACTTGCCTAGCATTTTTAACTTGTATTCGCTATTGCAACTACCACATGCATGAGAAGCTAAGTCAATTGGCTGCAAGGCTCTCCTCTAAACAGCTTTCGCATTTGCCTGCGTGCCAACTAACTCCGAGTTTACTTGTAGGAGCATGATTAACGGTTGCTTTATAAACTGTCCTTGCAAGTATGGTGCCCCGCTTCTTTCATTCAGCGAGATTCTATAATTACAGCCTTGGGTTCATTCAAAAGTGATATTAATTATTGCTTATAATAAGAATTTGAACTTCGGATTTATCAATCATAACACACAGATTATCCGTAAGAGAATATCTGACCTGGTCTGTGTTCTGCTGAAGGTACATGCTAACGAGATCGCAATGTAATGCAGAGACAAAAAGACGAGAGGGAGAGAGACAGGAACCGAGTGGAACAGGGCTGAGAGAGGGAAGGACTGTGTGAGAGAAGCCAGAGCGGATGTGAAACAAGAGAGGAGAGAGGCCGGGGGATGGGGAAAAAGAGAAAAGGCCGAGCGAGAGAAAGAGGAGGACGGAGCAGAGACGAGAGTGTGTGATTGTGGTTGCGGCGTGAGGTAGGGAGTGGGTGGGCAAGATTAT